CTTACACGACATCGCCATCGCCATCGCTCCAAACGAATCCTTCTCCATTGCCCCCACAAATATGCTTCTCTTTCCCTTCCCCCTCTTTCACTCCTCTTTCTCTCTCTCTTTCTCTCTCTTCCGCCATTGTTGCTCTGCAACTTTCCTCCATAGCCATGACTCCGCAATCCACCTATCTCCAAGTCCACATCGCCGCCCAGCATACTTTCTTTCTCAGCGAGGTGTTTTTGGCTTCATTTTCTTTTTTCCATTTCTCCTTTCCGATCATTTCTTCCTTTTTCTCATCTTGTTTTGTTTACATTTTGTTTTGCAGAAGGTTATTTCGGCTTATTCCGCAAGATTCCGGCGGATTAGCAAGCAGCATAGGCGAGCGAGAAGGCGAACAACCACAACAACTGCCTTTGGTGCTAGTTCCAGCGATGATTTCTCTAATTCTGCTATTGAGATCGATGATTTTCCTGGAGGAGTGAATGGATTCGAACTCATCTCAAGATTCTGCTACAACCGCGCTCAAATCGACATCACTGTCTCTAATGTTGCATTACTCCATTGCTGCGCCGTGTTCCTTGGAATGACGGAGGAGGTCGCCGCTGGGAACCTCATCCTGCAGACTGAGAATTTCCTCGACGGAATCTTTTACTGGTCGTGGAGTGATTTATTGTTGTGCCTTCGGAGTTGCGATTCCTTTTTCGCTTTTGCAGATTCGTCAGGGCTTTTGCAGAAGCTCGTTTGTGCTTTATTGGCCAAGATTGCACAGAATTCCAATGCGAGCCTCGTCACTCCTTCTTCCTCTTCTTCTTCCTCCTCACCTGATAATGCGTCTGGTAATTCAAGATTATCTACCAAATTGTGGTGGTTCGACGACATGTCGTTATTGCCTGCTCGGATCATTGAAAAAGTCGTACAGGGGATGGGGAGCTACGGGAGCAGCAATAACAGTTTGATTCTCACCAGATTTCTCCTCCATTACCTCAAAACCGCTGCTCAGAGCACTGTTGGGTACGTGTTACACTAACATTGAATCCAAAAGCTTCAACTATGAATATTAATCACATAATCTTATGTTTCGATAACAGATTAAACTCGTAAGCTTAAGAAATTGGTATCAATGTTCTAAGTTCTGATCACATACATATCCTTATGATTGAACTAATGAACTTGAGCCTTATCTTTAGGAATGAGCAACTATTGATTGAGGGTCTCTGGTTAACATATTAAACTGCAGTATATTGAAGGTTCGATTCATATGTTTAACAGGTATGGAAGTGGGCGGCCGAGGGGAGAGTACGGCGGGCTAGCGGACACCGCAGTGCACGGGGTGGTAATGGTGGGGAAAAGTATGTTTTCTTGCCGGGGGCTGTTCTGGGTGTTAAGAGTGGTGTCTGGTTTTGGTCTGAGCAAAGATTGTCGGAGTGGGTTGGAGAGGATGATCGGCGGGATGCTGGATCAGGCCAAACTGGATGATTTGCTGATCTCCGGGCACCACAAATGCACTTACGATGTGAATCTGGTGATAAGATTAATCAGAGTATTCGTGAACAACGATGGAGCTTTGTCTGTGCACAAGCTGAAAAAAGTGGGGAAACTGGTTGATAAGTATTTGGGGGAAATTTCTCCTGATCAAAACCTCAAAATATCCAAATTCTTGGGAGTTGCCGAGAGCTTGCCGGACTGTGCTAGAGATTGCTTCGATGGAGTTTACAGAGCAATTGACATCTACCTAGAGGTGAGTAGAACAAGAATTTCAAGCTCATAAACCTCATTATCATTCCATTTTTGTATTGAAAATCAGAGGTAGAATGAGTTGCCAATTAATCTGAAAAGGATTGTTTATTGTGTGTATTGTGTTCCAGTCTCATCCAAATCTTCCGATGGAAGAGAGGTCGAGGCTATGTAGATGTCTAAATCACGAGAAGCTGAGCCTAGAGACATGCAAGGCCTTGGCAAAGAATCCAAGAGTGCCGCCAAGGATAGCAGTGGAGGCACTGAAGTCTCAAGCAATGGGAGGTGGTCGTTCAAGCAAAGAGGAAACGACGGCGACCGCGTCGGCGATGGCAATGGTAGCAGCAGCAGGGGAGGAGGATAATCGGCGCAGTACTGAGTATTACAGCAGCGAGTGTCAAAGGGTTTTATCAAGTAGCAGCTTTGAGTCAGAAGGGTGTAGTAGCAGCACAGGCCAAGACACCAACAACAACAACCAAGACATGAAACTAAACCTGCAAAGGATGCAATGGAGAGTGGTAGAATTGGAGAAAGTTTGTAGGGAAATGAAGAGTAACATGTCCACTTTGGTTAGACAAACTGCCATCACTTCACCACCTACTTACCACAGAGCCTTGCCTAGACTGTGTTAAACTAAATAGACTCATCTCAGTATCTTCTTACACACCATCATTAACTTTTTGGTCGAACGACATGTACACATACCTATGCAGCCAAGTAATATCACATACACATTGTATTTGTATGTATAAATCCATCATTTGATTGCTTCATACGAGCACGAAACTCATCGACCCACGAGCGAAGTTTGAGATCGAAAAAGAAAATGCAAGTTGAGAGGAGTTTTAAATTTAGAGTGAGAATCTTAGTGAGAGTAAAATAATGGGAAGTTGAAGCATCTTGGTGAGGAAGAGAAGAAAGAAGTCAAAAAGGGACAGAAAATGGTAATAAATGGAATCAGATTTGTCTGGTGAAGAAAACCAGTGGCCAAAACCGAGCGGATTTAGCAGCTTCAGCTATGGATAACCAATTGGATGCAGACACGTGTACTTGCACACATGAGCTTACCATTTCGGTGTCCTATGTTTATTTAATCATTGTCCCTCAATTCCCAAAATAACTATCTATTAAACATAGATCGGATTAGGTTTTCAAACATTATGCAAATTTATAATCATCCATTTTGCACCCTCCATTTCAAATGGATGAACGGTCTAGATTTCGTAAACAGCGTACTTAGAGAATTGAGAGATCTCTCATATATATATATATATATAGTCAAAATTGAAAAATTTTATTTACACCAAAAATTAGGAATATAAAATGATTTTTATCCTAAAATAAATTCAAAAGTCTACCGATTAAAATAAATAAAAGTATGACATTGTTTACTTTGAGTATAAGGTTGTTATTATTAGGAATCATGACTCTTCACAATGGTATGATATTGTCCACTTTAAGCATAAGCTCTCATGACTTTGCTTTGGGCTTCCCCAATATTGTCCACTTTGAGCATAAGCTGTCATGGCTTTGCTTTCGGCTTCCAAAAGGCCTCATTGGAATGGAGATAGTGGAACTCACCCCATTAATCATCAACAAACTTACTAGTTACTATTACTGTTTTTATAACAAATAAAATAAAAAGTTCAGCAGAATTATTACCTAATATCAATCCAACCCATTTCATGAATAAAATGTGACCAATTAACCAACCAACAAAACTATTTGTTACAAATAACATCTTGTTGTTGCATCGAAACATAGAAATGCTGACTAATCTGACTAACATTGAACTTGGTAAAATAAAATGGTTGAATAATTGAAAAATGAGATTATTCTGGAATACACATTGAATGCTAAGATTGCTATCATCAAATACATATAAACATTTTAAACTTACTTTTGAATTCATTATTAGGTTCGAAACAATAAATATATATTTGAATTTTTTTTAAAAAATAAATATTGAAGTTTTAAAAAAAAGTATACTCTTTAATTCCTTGATAAAATTATTTAGAGATAATTTAAATTTGAAAGCATATTTAAAAGATTTAAAAATTTTGGACGGTAGAAAGAAAGAACAAAATTGGTTGGTTTATTGGTGATTTTGGAATATTAAAATAAGAAATATTAATTCCCGTGAAACGATGCGGTGGGTGTTTGCGGTTGACCGGACCATTACATTACAAGGAATCAACACATCTTTATTAATTAATCGCAATTTGGCGACTAATTGGGCGCCGCTTCTCCGCTACAAATAATAATAAATAAATAAATAAATAAATAAACGAGATAACTCTGGAGAAGTTTCACTTTGATATCATTTGTGACGTTTTATCCATAGGATTCGAACAAGATTTGTCCTTCGTGGCCTTAACATCGATGTGACAACGTTACTTAGTTGTCTTGAGTTGTTTCTAAGAGTGAAAACTATTATAAAAATCGGTACATGAATTTTTTTTAGCATATTTTATTCTCACTCACACGTTATCAGCTCGCATTGACTACGTCCTTGCCCTTTGTACACACCACCCGTTGCTCCTATCGATTGAATGGTCCGATGAAGTGTTCAGATCGTGGCGACGTGGGCAGTTCGCTGCCTACGATGTCGCGAGAAGTTCATTGAACCTTATCATTTAGAGGAAGGAGAAGTCGTAACAAGGTTTCCGTAGGTGAACTTGTGGAAGGATTATTATTGATGCCTAAACATCAAATGACCCGTGAACGTTTACAAACTTTTCTAGGATGTCGCACCATCAAGTGCGGAATGTCTGAGTTTCAAATCTCGATTTACATAATAAATCCTATTTATCAGTAATAAATGTTACATTACTAATTAAAATTTTATATTCTGGACCGGACCAATAAAATAAAAATACATTCTGGCAGAGTGAACTAAATTTTTTATTTTTAAAAAATTCAACGAAATCTAAATGAAAAAAAAGAATATAATTCAACTCAATTTTTATGGTTTGGGTTAGATAGTCTAAATTCATCTAATTATCTAATCATATAAACAACAATAAAAGGGTTAGAATATCAAAATTATTAACCAAAATTGGTGTGAAAAATTCAAATTTTAAAACAAGGTTTATCATACCAATAATAATTAAATGTAATTTAGAAAATAAAAGGTACAAAATAGGGTAAAAATAATTTAGTATAAATTTTGGGATTTAAAAACTTTATTTTGGGCTTAGGGCTCAAGTGGCCCAAATCCATCCTCTTTGGGACGGCCTTGAAACTGGCAGGCCTACGATTCTCCTATCCTCCCTCGCCATTTCTTAACTCAATCGCCACCGCGAGCCTGGCGGTAGAAACCCGCCGTCCGTCCAATAAACAGTGGCATAATCCGATTTGGGATTGACATCTTCAACAATGGCGCCGTTCCTCTCCCCTCAGATTTCCTTCGCCGTCGAATTTCGCAGCAGTTTCATCTTCTCTCCTTTGGGATAGTTTCTATGTGTACTCCGGTGAGGCTTTCGCTCTTCTTCTCTAATTGATAATCGACCAAATTGAATTCTGCAACCATTTAGAGTATGTCCGATCAAACTTCCGATAATACCAAGCCGCCATTGAAGTCCCTTTCCTTACAAGATTGGGAATCTTTCTTTGAAGACTTCCACAGCGGTGGACCTCGTCTTCACCGATGGACTTCTCAATTTTCCATCACATCTTCTTCTCTTATCGACTTGGTTCTCTCCTCCATCCTCAAGCGGGATTTCCCTCTCAATCTCAAGCTTCAGCTCCTCCATTTCATCGACGAGTTCGTTTCCCTGTCCGATTCCCCTGACTCTGCTGTATCTGAATCCATATTAGAGCGTTTGGTTGATACCCTTCGCGTGGTTGTCCAATCTCCGAACTCCGATGGCCTTCACTTTACCTTCTCTCTCAAGGAGCAAATTATGGTCTCCACCACATCCATTTTCATTTCCCTCGATGCCTTGAGGAATTTCGATGTTCGATTGCTGGAGAGCTTGATTGAATTGCTGCTTACCGTTGTTAATCGCCCAAATCATGGGATTGATAGACAGACCCGCGCAATTGCGTCTGAGTGCTTGAGGGAATTGGAGAAGGCTTACCCTTGTTTACTGTCACTTGTTGTGGGACATCTATGGAGCTTGTGCCAAAGCGAGCGCACGCACGCATCGCAGAGCTATATTTTGCTATTCACAACCGTCATCAGTAATATTGTTGCTCAAAGATCAAGCGTATCGATTCTCAGCACGTCCGTTCCTTTGGTTCCTTTCAATGTTCCGCCATCTGTTCTTGCCCCAGATTCGAGCACGAATAGGGAGGTTTCTCCTGGATTGAATTCTAAAGAATTGAGGAGGGCGATAGCGTTCTTGCTTGAATCGCCACAAATTCTTACTCCGCCTGCTATGGTTGAATTTATGACAATGATAATGCCCGTAGCTTTAGCTTTGGAGTTGCAGGCGTCAATGTTGAAGGTGCAATTCTTTGGAATGATATATTCCTTTGATCCTATGCTGTGCCATGTTGTTTTGATGATGTATTTGCATTTTTTAGACGCATTTGATGAGCAAGAAGGCGAGATTGCTCGCCGTCTTTTGTTGATTTCTAGAGAAACACAGCAACATCTGGTTTTCCGTTTGCTTGCACTCCATTGGTTGTTGGGTTTATTCAGGACTGATAGTCCACTAGGCAAAAAGATGACTTCAGCTGCTGAAATGGGTTTGAACTTTTATCCGGCAGTGTTTGATCCGCTTGCTCTTAAAGCTTTGAAGCTCGACCTTCTTGCCTTCACCTCAATACGTAATCAAATGTCCAAAACTGAGACTGTTTCAGACCAAGATTCAGATTCTGGAAAGTCAGTGGTGAAGCTTCTTCAAGATGGTCTGGTATGCGTATCAGCTTTCAAATGGCTACCTTCAGGAAGCACAGAAACTGCTGTAGCTTTTCGTGCCTTCCATAAATTCTTGATAGGGGTGTCATCTCATTCTGTCTCCGACTCGAACGCCGATAAAATTCTTGTGGATTCCAGCATCTTCCGTATGTTGCAGGTTCTACACTGCTCTATTTTCCCATTTCTGTTGTGTTTAGTTCTCCATTTTCTAAACTAGCAAGTTATAAAGTTAATTTTTCCATGTCGGTCTGCTGATTGTTGTTCTGCTGGAGAATTTTGTCTTAACCATGAAAAGTGTGACACTAGAGAGCATCATTTTCAATCTTCATTGTTTCATACTGCTTATAAGGCTAAGAAGCATTAAATTGGGTTTAGAACCATGAGCTAATATAGCAGTATGCCAGTATCCAATAAACTTTAGAGTCGAGGTCCAAAACACCGCACATGGTCTGCCTGTAACATTCACTAGTTGTAACGAATGCTGAATTTAATTTCCAATTCTAGTGATATCTCTCTCTAGTATTTTGGTTTGAGAAATTGCTTCTGGTTTCCTCCAATGGGCTAGAAGGTTAAAATATGTGTGAAACCTGCCCCTGGAGGATTTGGAGGAGGAAATTAAGCCTTAGCCACGAGAAGCCCATTTGTTCGTGACAAACCACTGAAGGCCTCTCTCTTTCTGCTTAACATATTTGTTAGAATTGGTTATAGGGGTCGACAAAAAAAAGAGAATCAACTGTATTTTGATGTTTACAATATTTACCTTCCAGGAGATGCTTGTGGAGTTAATATTGGAAAATCAGAGATTGGTTCCCGTTATTGTTGCTTTCACTGACCGGTTGTTAAGGTGTCAAAAGCACAGATGGTTAGCAGAGAGCCTGCTCCAGAAATTTGACGAGCATTTGCTTCCAAAAGTTGCAATAAACTACAAACTGGTGTCTTGCTTCTCAGTATTCAATAGAATGGCCGAAAATGATACGATACCTCCCAGTGGATTGCTTGGACTCTTTGCTAAGTTCATGCTGTTTCTTGTTGAGAAACATGGACCGGACACGGGGCTGAAGTCTTGGTCTCTTGGAAGTAAGGTACTTGGGATTTGCAGGACGTTGTTGATGCACCACCAAAGTTCTCGATTGTTCCTTAAAATGTCTCGTCTTCTTGCGTTTACTTGCCTCTATTTTCCTGACTTGGAAGTTCGTGATAATGCAAGGTACATAAAATCAAGATTTTCTCACGTTCTTTTCATTGTCTTCCTTTGATCCAGCTTCTTAATTAATGAGTTAATTTATTTATTTATTTCAGGATCTATTTACGTATGCTGATTTGTGTACCTGGAAAGAAGCTTAGGGACTTGCTAAAACTTGGAGACCAACCCTTTGGCATTTCTCAATCTCTTCATTCTGGTGCTTTGTACAATGTCCAGTCTCCACGACTTTCTCATGATCTCAAAAAGTCCAGAAACATCTCATCCTATATACATTTAAAACGAAAAATCCCCTTACTTGTAAAGCAATCCTGGTCATTATCTCTATCAACTCTAGGAGTTGAAGATTATAAGCTTGGTTTGTCAGAGGGTATCAGGGACGGCGAACCTGTGGTTGAAGAAAGGGTGACTGAGTTCTCTTCTAACATTGAAACAATTAATCTAGCTCAGGAGCCATTGCGTGTGATGGACTCGAAGATTTCCAAGATTTTGGATATATTACGGAGACATTTTTCATGCATTCCTGACTTCAGGCATATGCCAGGGCTTAAAGTTACAATATTTTGTAGCTTAAGTTTTGAATCGGAGCCATTCAGTCGCATTTGGGGAACTGATACATTTGCTAAGAATTTGGATGATACGGATAACCATCCTGCAATGTATGCAACTGTGCTCAAGTTTTCTTCATCTGCACCTTTTGGTTCTATTCCATCTCGTCATATACCTTTTATTTTGGGAGAGTCTACAGGGGATGAAGGCAGTCCTAGTAAAAGGGTCTCCTCATTGGACATTGTTCCCGTTCAGAATGGTTATGGAAAAGATGAAAGATTTAAGGCTCTGGTAGCAGTTGAATTGGAACCAAGGGAGCCCACACCAGGACTCGTCGATGTCTCAATTGAATCTACCGCAGGAAGTGGCCAGATCATTCGTGGTCCTCTTCAGAGTATCACAGTAGGACTTGAAGATTTGTTTCTTAAAGCTGTTGTCCCATCAGATATCTCAATGGATGAAATCCCTGGTTATTGTTCAGATTTATTCAATGCTCTTTGGGAGGCATGTGGAACATCTTCCAATACTGGGCGAGAGACATTTTCACTGAAAGGAGGCAAAGGAGTTGCAGCTATTAGTGGAACCAGATCAGTCAAACTACTTGAAGTCTCAGTGGCTTCTTTGATTGAGGCTGTTGAACTCTACCTGGCTCCTTTTATCGTGAGCGTTATAGGTGAACAGCTCATTGAAATCGTGAAGGATCGAGATATTATCGAGAATGTCATCTGGGAGGACATGGCATCTGAGAACTTCTCACAACTGACCTCTTCAGTACCTGATCTTGATAGAGGCCCACTACGTCTTACATATTTTTCAAATGAAGATGAAATGGGAAGCAACATCAGTAGCTATAAGAGAAACATGGGCCACTTTCATATTTTGATATTTCTTCCACCAAGGTTTCACCTTCTTTTCCAGATGGAAGTTTCCGATTGTTCAACCTTAGTTCGAATTCGAACTGATCACTGGCCTTGCTTGGCTTACGTCGATGATTACTTGGAGGCTCTGTTTCTCGCATAAGAGGATATCTATCAGTTTATCTATCACCTCGGAAGAGTCTATCTAGTTTTGTTGTAGACACTTGCAAGATGAGGGTATTTTTTTCTTGGAAACCCTTGGTAGATATACAAAATTAGTAAATACTTGTAGTTTCTGCTCAAATTGTATTCTTTCTGTGTACGGAAGAGGGCACTTTCTTTAAGTCGGGGATCATTATAGCAGAGGCTTAAAAGTTGCAAATGTAAACTTAGTCTGTATTTACGATGCATACAGGTTAAAACCACGTGATATGATTTCTTGCTTTGAGACTTATGAGCATACATTTTTCTCATTATATTTATATCTCAGAGAGTGTTTTCAAGTGCTGATAAGAACGACATTGGAAAACACAAAAGGGATTGCTCGTTCTGGCTTGAAAAATCAGGTTAGTATGTGTATAAGTTTTGTTTTGATATTTGGTCAAATACTCCAAGATCTTATTGAAATCTGTTTGTAACTCGTTTATGAATTTCTTTTTGCCAGGTTCAAGCGTTCAGGATTTTGCGCTCGCATTTTCATGTCGAGAAAATTTGCTAAGGTAAGACACTAGAATGAGCTCGTTTTTCTGTGAGTTGCTCTCTGTAATGTTTATTGGAGGCAGTATACAAAGCAAAACAGTACACTTTTTGATACATAGTTCAAATTGTTCATTTGTGTTGAGATTTGTTGGTTCTGGTCTTCTTCCACAGCCTCTTCTCAGGCAACCAGCTTCAATGGTCTCATCATCTCATTGTCTTCATGATCCAATATCTGCAACAATCATATAGTAATGCATGTTAGTTATGATCTACGGTTGCTTTAGAAACATTTAGTCAATAATATGAACTTGCTACTTACGTGACAATGGTAAACATAGCCAGGCTCCGCAGTTGCATCGAACGGGTATGATGCGTTCGATTGTATGTTGGAAAACCTCACCAGTATCTTTGTCACATATCCAGGCATCATCTTGTAGACATTCTTCCACCCTTTCTCATGACTGCTTACCTTAATCCGTTTTCCACGTGCATGTTGTTCAATTTTGCACTTCACTGCATCTTTTTTTTTCGTCATGCAATCCTTAAACTCTTCCAGCCGAACCAGCTCTGTCTGGTCGAGTGCGGCCAGTAGCCCGATGTGAATGTGTAATGGATGATTGTCCTCTGTTAGATTGATCACGTACCATATCTCTGTGCTCCCTACCTTTGGCTTCTCTGTCACTGGTGCTTCATACCTTTTTCCGTTTATGTATAGATGGATTGGCTCGTCGATGTCACTCGTGTATTCGTACATGGCAATGTACCGAGTGTGCGATGCATCGGATAGTTTTGGTTTCGGGTACTCTATTAGTTTGCTGGGAACTCTCTGCGTTTCAACTTCTTTCTTTCTGGAAATATAAAATTTCATCACTTTGTTGTTACCTTCACTTGCGGGATCCCCGGATGGATAAGGGTAGGCTGCACCGTTGGCTAGGATGACTGTGTCAATCATTGACTTTGAAAAGTCAACCACCACGTCAGCAATCTCTGATGGTGCCAGTAGGATCGCCTTGGAAACTACAGGTTTTGCAAGGTAGGCCGAGTCCGATCCTACATGTATGAATCTAAGGCCATTGGTAAAGAAAAATTTGAAGAATCTAGCGTTACTAGCATTGATGATGCGGAATCGATACTTGCGACGTTGTACTGTCATACGTGGCCAGGCTTTACCGTTGACGACGATAACGTCGCCAAAGTATTCCGGTTGCCACTGGGGATGTATAGAGGGATTATTGCCGGTGGAATTCATGAAGATGGAGCCATTGTGGAGAAAGCTTCGATCAAAGACGACCAATGGATGGTCGAATTCGCGACCGTGAGGGAGTCGGAGAGGAGCCTCAACATGGTGGTGACGGATTATATAGGATCCAATCAGGCCAGCAAGAAGGTTGACTCTAGTCAACCCCATGGCATGATCATGGTACCAAAGATTCCCAGGGTGCTGGTGATTGTTATAGTGATATGTCTTGTTGGTCCACGAGGGTCCTTTCTGCTTGAAGCCATTAGTAAACCATGAGGTTGCATGGCCATCGCTGCCAGGCTCGGTGATGCCGCCATGGAGATGAACCACCGTCGGGATGCCACGATTTCCGGCGGGTATGGCGGTCGGAATTGTGGGATCCCATGGAAGAATATGCCGGTCAGGGAGGTGATTTTCCCACGTCACATACGTTGAGATGCCATGGATGGCTTCGATTGTAGGGCCAGGAACTGTTGCAGAGTCCTTGGAAACACCGTAAGCAAAAACAGGAGTCGGGGGAAGATCTCGATGAAATTTCTGCACAGACAAAGGAAAAAAACAAGAAGAAAAATTACTTTTTGGGTTGAAATCCAGATTCTTAAAAGGAAGAAGAAACATACCCATGTCTTGAGGAACATGCCAAGGCGGAGATGCTTGGAATGGCGGCCATGGAAGCCGGAGAGTGTGGGGATTTCCGGCAAGTCGTCGACGAACATCGGCAGCTTCTTGGGATTTATAAGCCGTTCAGAACCAAACCCAGTTGTTGCAGAGAAACAGCAAAACAGGAACAGAATTGGGAGCACCATTGTTCGAAGAAAACTACGAACAATGCTTGAATTTGGATATTGGAAGAAAATGAAGAGGGAGGGGGGATTATATGTGGTCTGAGACACAGTGGGAAACGGGTCTGGAAGTCAGAGAGACAGCGAGTGTGTCAACTTTCAATTGTTTTTGTTGGTTTGTGCAACTTTTAATTCTCCACCTCAGTGTGCTTTTTTCTCCACTAATCAGAATAAATTCTGGCAAGATTTTTTAGTTTCCCCCCCTTTTTCTGTTCCTCTCCCGACCACGGATTTAGATCCATTAAACAGAGTGGAGGAAGAGAAGGAAAGCTAAAAAAAAAGCAAGTAATTATTAGAAACCAAACCCCTTTTGGTTTGAAAAAACCAACACCCATTCATGGAAACCATCTTGTTGTTCTATTCTGTTCTGTTCTGTTCTGTTCAGAGAGTAAAATCAATGAAAAGAAGAAACAGAGCCATGTTTTGATGAACATCGGTAGCTTAGAATGTTTAAGGATGTTGCCCATGGAAGCTTCTTCACAACCAAAATTCACTGGTTTGGGATGGCAATGGATTTTGAGATTTTGGATTTCGATTTGTTTCGTTAAAAAAACGACAAGGGTCTCATGGTTTTCAAAAGAATCGGTGATGCGATCGACTCGACTCGATAACCCATTTGAATTTGATTCAATTAAATGAAAATTGTGGGTAAAAAACTTAAAAGAATTGAAAATTATTACTTATTACTAACGAGACACCTTAGTCTCTAGTCAGGCTAGACTCTCTTAATAGTAGACACGTTTTAAAACTTTCACGAGAAGTCGAAGTCTAGAAAGAAAAGTCCAAAGATGATAAACACGTTTATAGCGCTCGGTTTAACCTATTAAAATAAGTTTCAATTTGACTCTGGGAAGAAGTATGATTTTTTTCCATCCAAATTTTTTCTTTTTAAAATCTTTATTAAAGTACAATGCTTTTTAATAAAATATCTGTTTTTTTTTTTTTTTTTTTTTTTT